CCTCCCATGTGATTTAGCCAGGTGACTTTGTACACACTTTGGGAGATGCACACATTTACCTGAATCACATTGAGCCACTGAAAATGCAGGTAAGAATTCTGTCACACTTTGAAGTTTGGTCCCGTCTCTTGATAAAAGTTTGATTTAGGGGCCAGCCAAATGGCTCAGTTGGTTAAGAGCTCGCTCAAGAGTGCAAGCTCTGAGCAACAGGGTCACCGGTTCAATTCCTGGCCCGAGCTGAGCTGCCAACAGGTGGCAGGATGGCTCAACTAAAAAAAAAATTTTTGATTCATAGGACATCCCTCCTGTAATAGCCTTTTTGACAGAAAGAAGATGATCTGCTCCCACTGCACAGCTTCCCTTTAGGACTGGCTGGTGGGCAAGGACAAGGCAAACATGTGCTTAGACAACCATAGGCACCCAGTGTGACAGGTGCTGTGGGGGACTAAGTACCAGTACCACAGAGGGAGAGTCACATTCAGACCAGGGGATTTGGGACCTTCTAAGAGGTAGCATTTCAATTCGTATTTTTACTTGAAGGAAAATATAAATGCAAATTTTTCCCTTAATTTTATTCTAAATACAATACATAAGCCTGAACTTTCAAAAGTCGGTTCAAATCCATAAGCCAACAAATGATGATTTGAAATGGCAATAAGAATATAAGAGTGTGTCCCAAGAATAAAAATTTCGAACCACAACTTCAAGATTTGACCCAGGTTTGGAAAGTTTCCCCTTCGAGGAACTTAGTCTGCTTTGACTAGAGTGACCTCAGGGCTTATCCAGGTGCTTCTCTCTGGCTCTGCTCCAGTCATGCTGGACAGAATAGTGTGAGGTCGTGACCTGTGTCCACGTCCTCATTGCCACTGGTTGTTTATCCCAGGAATCCTGGTTTGCAACCCTTTGTGTTAATTGCCAAAAGATGTCATCTGTGTGCTTTATGTCAGGAACAGTTGGGATGGGGGTTTGGGGGCTCACGTAACCATTCTGAGCGCGTACTGTGAGTTACAGACACAAAAGTAAAAAGACTGTCCTGTCCTTAACAAATTTACCAAGAGTAATCAATTATAAAAACTTAACAGCTTGGTGAGCCACCAGGCTTCTGACACCATGATTCTACAAAATTCTCTTCATTCTCCACATGTGTGACAGAATGAGTCAGTTATGCTCAGTATTGCATCACCAGCAACAAGGTATCTACAGTATTACGCCCCTGTAAAATAATACTTTGTTGATAAAATACTGGGTACTTGTTTCATGAAGGGACTTGGGGAGCAGAATTAAAGTAGGTTGTAGAGGTACGGCAGTATAATGGTCTTATGTTGTTTTTTAGCTTCAGCGAAAACCAAAGCCTTTCCCGAAGCTTAAAATCCTTCGAAAAGTTGAGACAATCGATGACTTCAAGGCTGAAGACTTTCAGATTGAAGGGTACAGTCCTCATCCAACTATTAAAATGGAAATGGCCATTTAGAGTGCTTTTTAAGGAGTTGTTTGAAGGATAGTCAGTCTTTAGGGCTTGGACTGGATGCTCAGGTGGAAGTTCTTTGTTCTCAAGGAGGAAGGAACTACGTCAAAACTCCTGGTGACTTATCAGTTATTAACTCTAAAGGCTGTTACTGTTGGCAAGTGTAACTGTTAGTTCTTTTAGTAATAGAAGGTGAGTTTTTAACACATTGAGGATGTATGAAAATGCTGAAATTATGACTAGAAGATTAAGAATTTATATGCTCAACAAAAACATGTACATGGTATTTCAGTCCCATATTTTTATGAAGGTTAGTGAATTTCAAGGTTTTATAAGCTATTCTCCAAATTTGAATGAGCCATTAATAATGACAATGTATAACTGGTGTGGTTATGAACCACACCAAGTTAAAGTTACTTGTTTTATACATTGCTATAATAAAGAAGTTTTCAGCATTTATCTCGGTTTTTTGTTTTTAATTCTCTATTGCCATTCTGCACAATTCCTGCCTGAAATACATGAATTGAACCCTCCTAAATAAACGTGCTATATTCTTGCTTGGATGTTGCCGATGTTAGAGCATATTTTAGAAATGCTGACCAAACTAAATTTTCCCCTGCTTTTGATTCATCTAATTCTAGCTGCATTTTATCATTAAAATATAATTGAGGAAAATGGTTTTTTAAAGGGTTATAAAAAATAGTCTGAAGTAGCATTTTGGCCTTGTTAGTTTCAGTATGGTGTGAATTCTGTAATAATGCACTTAGAATGAGCAGGAAAAGAGACGCTAATCCACTTCAGGGTTAACCAGTGGAATCTTTTTATCTTTATTGCATACCAGATACCCCACGGTGCTGCAGAACTATTTTTATTCTGCTAATTTATGACAAGTTAAATAGAATAAGGAATTGTTCCAACAAGTTATGCAACATGTGGCTTATTTTCAAAGTACAGTTTAATGTCTAGGTACCAGCACTTGATAGAAATTTTAACATTTTCCTGGACTTGGAATTAGTTTAATCTAAATTTGTTTAAGGATTAAGTAGAAGAATGTATGTTTATATGCTAAAAGAATCAAGTAATAATGATTACTGAGCTGATTGCTAAGGTTAATTACTTTCAGCTGAATTTGTTTTGATTGGTGGGATGATTTTTTTGCCCCTATTTTTATAAAGCCATACCCTCCAAATTTTAAGCCTTTTCGCTTAAAAAAGAAGAGGGTTTCAATTCCCTTGAGCAGCAAGGAGTTTCTTCCACACTTCACCATCTGGATATTGGTGTTTCTTTACAGATCCTGCCTTCATTTCTGTGGAATAACCAGCATCCTATCAGAGACAACAACAAAAAAGCAGTGTTTACCCCTGGAGCAACAATAAAAACATTTAGTTAATGTATTTCTGCTGCTCCTAGAAATGCTTTTAAATCTAAGAGACAACTAAATATTTTTTAAATAAATTTTAAGGTTGAAATGGAGAAGGGCGGCACAGTATTGGCTACTTCCCAGTTCTAGTTAATTAATCAAACTTCCTCTGATAGCTCGACCTCTGTGAAAATGAGCCCCGATCTCTTGACCATGATGCAGATAAATGGCCCAGATAACACCACTGTAGTCAAAACTTGTCAGTTGACTGAACTGCTAGATGGTCCCAGATTTTTTTTGTTGGTTTTGTTTTGTTTTGCACAAGGAGTGCACATTTTAAGGTCTCAGCTGGCGAAAAGGATGGCATTTGAGACTTGGGCAATTTCACCCCAAAACCCTGACCTTCAGGCCTTGAGAATTTGAGATGTACAAAGTAAAAAGCTATTTGTTTCTAGATATGAAAACAAACTAAGGAGTCAAAGCTCTGCTCGGTTCCAGCTCAAGAGAACAAGTACAGCGAGGGCTGGCAGCGCTTGATGGGGAGGCCTCCCTGGCCAGGCTCACCTGAGGCGGCATGTAGGATGCATTCTTGATGATCACAGGGTACTTGAAATGTTCATGCAGGTGGTCAACATATTCACACATCCTAGGAGGAAGGAATTAGGGCAATAATGCCTTAAGTTAGATAATTCATGTGGATAATTCATTGAAGCAAAAGGGGTACTACTACGAAGAAAGGGTGGACTTAGCCAAGGCTTGGCTGATACTGCTTGATTGCAAATCCCTCCATCTCTGTGCCTCAGGATCATCTCAGCTATAAAATAAAGCAATGTGGGGGCTTGGATGAAATGAACCATGAAGTCTCTTAGCTAAATGTTTTATGACCCCAAAGGGCATCAATTTACACTCCATAAGTATCGGATTATTTGGGTGCCTTGAGTCAAGTTAGATGGACAGATTAAAAAGCATCAAATGAGCTCCCTTGCAGCTACACGCATGATTCAGAAGAGCACAGGTTTTAGGATCAGACCAACCTGTGTTTAAATCTGGTGTCAGCCACTGTCTCGTTTTGTGACTTGGGGCAAGTACCCAACTACTACCTTAATTTAGTCATCGACTAATGAAAAACTGCTGCGAGGGGCAGGCCCTGTGCCCCCCTGCTGGGGATACACAAAGGAACTGGCAGGACAGGGCCTCATGGTTTCAGTGGTGGTTTCAGTGGACATAGATTCTAAGTCATCAATTATAATGTGCTGTGGATAATCTATAAAGAACAGATGAAGCACCAGGCCCATGGAAGAGAGCAGTTAGGCCTTAAAGAATGAACAGAGAACGGACCTTCCATGCAGACAGAATTAAAAAGCAGAGGTACTGTGGTATGACAGCAATGTCTGGTGGCTTTCTACTTGCAGAGTGGGATTCCTGAGCAGTGAGATCTGCTTTCAGGAGAGTGGAATGAGGCCCTTTCACCCACTCTCAGGTGGTCATAGTGCACAGTGGGTCAGGGCGGACCTTTTCCTCATCCCTCAAGACCTGCAGGACCTTTCAAGGCTGGTTGGAACCCCACTTTGCTGCTGCCTTCAGGAACTGAAATGGGAGGGGGGCAAAAGCAGAAAAACCTAGGAATGTTCATTTTTTATAGTTTAAAATATTTCAGGCATGTTAAAAGACAGTATGTGTCTACTTACTACCCAGCTTAAGAAATAAACCAGTGCTTTATAATTGAAGGCTCCTGTGGACACTTACTGGTTCCATCTCTCACAATCCTGCATTTGTTGTTTACCTTTCCCATGCATGTTTTTATGCTTTCACCATATACTTCTAGTGATCTTCCTGTGATACCACATTTAATTCCAGGAGGATGGAAAGCATAATAAAGCTGTCTATGTGCAGACAACTAGAAGGAGACTGTCATAGTTTAAAGCTCACGCTGGGCTTGTTGAGAAATAAGGTAGAACTACATAGTATAGATTCCAGTGTTAGGAAGAGGAGGTTGGACAGAGCAGAGAATACACCTATGAAGGAAGCAGGGCTTTAGAAAGTCAGAAACAGATGCTGGTTGAGGAAGGAGTTCAGGTTTCCATCTGGTTCAAAAGGAACACACGCCCCCTCCACGCCCCCCCCACCCACACACACACATACACACACAATGTAGTTACAAAACAAAGTGAGTCAGCGACCAAGAACCTTTTTCTTCTAAAACAAAAGGGACTATTATTCACTCCTGGGTCTCCTTGTTACTGCCCCATGTGGAGAAGTGGAAGCAAAACCAACTGGGCCTTTGAGCTAACAGGATGTGCCAATGAGCTGGATTCTTCATGCCTCTGTCATGAGAGCCTAATTAAAAGACCTGGCCTGAATTGAGGGACACTGGTGAAGTTAATGCCACATTACTCACCTGTTTTCAAGGCTTGCAGAGACTGATATGAAGTCAAATATAATCAGGTGCTGTACCAACTCACAGAGGCCAACTCCACCAGCATGGGGGCAAACAGGAACTAAAAAGACAGATTGCTACTGAATGCCAAGAGTAGGGCAGAGAGGGAGGGGTGAGAGGACATGTGGCTTTTATTATTACCCGCAGGTGATTCAATTATGCATTAATGGGACCAGATTCCAGGATGAAAATCGCCAAAAAATCCCTGATTAAGACGAAAAGAGTTAGAAAAAAATCAAAATGGCAAACTACAGAGGGAGCCACAGGTGTCGGGGAAATGGGGGTTCGGTCTGCAGGCCACGGTGCCCTTACTTTCAAACTTTTTGGCCATCAGCAACACTGAGAGGTTCTCATTGACACTTCCCAGCCTGCAGCTGTCAATCTGGAGAAACTGCAGGGCTTGCGCCTGTAGGAGCTGCTTAAATATCACTCTATTGTGGCACTAGAAATAGAATTAAAATGAAACCAGCAGAAGAATCAGCTTTGGCCTGCAGGATCTCTAAACCTGGCAAGGTGCCAATTCCAAGTCACCCATCAGTGACCTGCACGAATCCTGGATTCTATTTATTCTTCATTGTCACTTGGCATGAGGTAAGTCCTGATCGTCCAGATAGGGACCTTCCGCTCACTTCTTTACAAATCTGCTGGCAGAACAGTGTGAGTCATGTAGACTCACACCACTCGCCATCTATTCAGAAGTAACTGTCTAGTGAAGCATCAGGATGAAATCCGGTGCTGGCGATGAGCAGACAGCACGGACAACAAAACAGAACCACGGCAGAGCAGCACTGCTCCTTTCGCTGGGGATGCCAATCATCTGTTCCTTCTCACTGTTCTACTCGTGGGCTGACTGCCGCAGGCTTTGGCAGGCACTTGTGCTTCGTTTGTAAGCACAAAAAGTGAACGCAGTAATATTGACTCAATTTGGAAGCTGGCTTTCTTAAAACCACACAGTGCACTTTATGCCCTTGCAGAAGCAATTTTAAGTTGCTGCCTTATAAATTTCCATTAGCCACTTTGAAAACAACGACTTTAGTCATATAAATTGTAGAAAAAGACAAAATTTGACTATATCTGACTGCAGACCTTAATGAAGTGCTGTAAAACAGCCCAATTTCTAAGACTGAGAACTTCCCAACTCAAAATACAACAGGTGATGTAGCCTAACATAGGATGATGTTCTCAGTTGGTGTAGCCGGTGTATTCTGACCCCAAGGAGATGTCACTTACCTGTTCTCCCGTGGCAACACCAATTCCTAATGGGACCAATGCCTATAAAATATAAGGTAATCTGGTGTTATTTTCCTGTTTTTGAACTGAAACTTCCAGTGTTTAAAAATTCAGAGCTGCTTAACTATTTAATGTTCAACTATTTAGAGCTGAAGAAAGACACATCCCTGCTGTGGAGCCCTGTAGAAGTTTCAGGAGTGGCAGAAGGCGGGCGGTCAGGGGATTTGTGTGCACACAGGAGACACTGCGTGTACGCGTACCTGCAGAGGAGAAAGCCAGCACTTGTTCGTACTGCTGCCGTTAGCTTCCTTCCTGGCTATGGCTGCGGACTCTGTCTGAAGCCTGAGCAGGGGTGTGAGCCTGGGAGCAGACATAGCCACTCAAAAGAGGCTCATCAGATTTGCAGGGTCCAGCCTCCAGCTGACACCTTCCTATATAGGTCATCACTCCCTTTATTCCCATCTTGTTGTCTCCCTGATGAGCCCCCTTCAGTGGTTATTCTAGAATCCTCTCGCTTCACGCTCAGTGAGTGGCCTTAAATCTTACTTTACAGGTTGGACTAACTGGTGAGGTGCTAAAATCTCCTTAACACAGTTCTGCTGCTCCCTGTCGTCCCACCTGAAGCTACTTCACTCCCCTCCCACGTGGGCTCTAGGCCTCGCCCCTCCAGCCCTCACCCCTCCAGCCCCAGCCCTTCCCTGGACTGCAATACCACACACACCCCTCAGGCATCTTTGGTTTCTCCCTTCTTGCCTTCCCATTGTTTAGGGAACCGTATCAATGACACTAATAGCTACCACTTTCTGGGCTCTTAATACCTGCTTGGCCTGTTCAAAACCCTGACTGAACTGATCCCACATCACAACTCACTGGGATAGGAGCCATCATTATCCCCATTTCACAGATGAGAAAAGACGCACAGGGTGAGTAACCGTCCTGTATCACAACACTAGGAAGGAGTGGAGCCCAGGCTTGAACTCTAGGCCAACTCCAGAGCCAGAAGCGGCATCTGAATCACTAGATAGACACATTTCCCTAAAGAAAATGCTTTAATTTAGGAGCCAGGTGTCCCCAGTTCCACTACTTGTCCAGCCTCTAATAGGATGCGTGGACTGGCCCACCGGAAGCCCCGCCTCCTGGCCTGCAGATCAGGAGTTAGAGCCGATGGTTGCTGAAGAGCCATCTAACGCTAACAGCTTATGTTTCCTGAAACTTCTAATTTAAATATGCTTGGTTCTTTATCTCCAAAGAAAACGGGCGGGGGCAAGGAGTGGTGGAGGGGAAAAGCCATTTGATTTATTCATTCTACTATTTAAAGCATGTAAGTTTCTGGCACTGAATAAGTACCAAATTTTATTTTCTCCTTTTAAACATTTCCTGAACCTGCTCTGCCCTCGTCTCACTACCCTCTACCTTCACCACCACCTCCCCCCACCCCCCGTTACTGTGAAAGCCTCCTCGTTCCCATCCAGCCTCCGTTTTCTTTCTCTCCATTCCTCACACCTCTCCTATGCCTACATGTCAATCCACCCTACTTGTCGTTACCAGTCAGATCATCTTGATTCCCATGCTTTCATTCAAGGACCTACAGTGGTTCGCTGAGTTCAGCTGCATCTTCTGAGTAGGTGGATCCCGAAACCTGGCCCCAGATGCCTGCCTGCCCTCCAGGCCCCACCATGCGTGGCGTTCTGTTTGGTACCTGCACAGCTTTCCCCTGCTTCCGCCTCCTCCTCAGATGCCTCCTGAGGGGTTGGTTGCCCCCATGTGAACAAAACCTTGGAGGACTGAAGCCCAGAAGAGCCTCTGAGGAGATTCTCCAGGTCCCTGTTTGGACAAGTTGGCAGCCACTAGGGCACGGCTACGCCACAAGAGCCCCAAGACAAAAAGTCTTGTTTATCCACGGCCCCTCACCAGGTTCTCATTTGGAATGATTACTCGGATTAAATCAAAGGCTGTGGTCACTCCACGGCTCCTGCTCATGTTTCCCTCACCTGCAGTTCAGCTTTCCTTATAGAGTCAGCTCTGTCCGAGTCCACTGCCATCTCAAGGGAGCTTCTTTCTACTGCCCTCAGCACTCAGGGCCTAGGCCCCACATTCCACCTGTGTATGTTTCATATATTTTAGTTTCTTTCTCTCTAGCAAGGCTGTAAAGTGGGGAGAGTTAAAGGTATTCCACCAGCTTTTGTAGAGTGTCTGACATAAGGGGGTTATATGTTGATTGACGAGAAATGGACCCCACACTTTGGACCTTTCACTTCATGTAGGACACATGAAGTTGTCCCTCCAAGAACTTGGGACTAAGACTGTCCTCACAAGGGGGCCGGCCGAGTGGCTCAGTTGGTTAAGAGCGCAGGCTCTGAGCAACAGGGTCACTGGTTCAATTCCCACATGGGCCAGTGATGCTGCACCCGAGCTGAGCTGCCAACAGGTGGCAGGATGGCTCAGCTGGTGAGAGCATGTGCTCTTAGCAACAAGGTTTCCGGTTCAACTCCCTCACGGGATGGTAGGCTATGCCCACCCGCAACTAAGACTGAACACGGCACCTTGAGCTGAGCAGCCACGAGCTGCCATTGGGCAGTGGGATGGTGGCTGGACTTGGAGCTGAGCTAGCTGTGCCCTCCACAACTAAGACTGAAGGACAACAACTTGGCTGTTCCCGTTCCCCAATTCCCCAATAAAATCTTAAAAAAAAAACTGTCCTCACAGGGAAAATTTTAAGAGCAATATCCAATGGGGGAATAGTAGAGCAATGCTAAGTCGTCTCAAGGAGAAAAAAAGAGTTCTTAGGCTCCTAGGCAGGCAGGACCTACCTATAAGCCAAATGAATGGACTAACTCAACGGCACAGTGTGTAGGAAAGGGTTATCAGAAGAAAACATAAAAGAGGGGCAAGAGGCATCTGTTGGCTGGACCTGTACAAGCACTGCCCAGGAAGGGATGAGGCTTAAGACTCGATATGGCCATGGACAGAGGCAGGTACATCCGCGCTGAGGAGATGGATGCATTGGGTCATCTCGGTCTGATGCCATCACATATTCAAACCCCATAACCAGTTTCTGCTCTGATTCCTCACTCATCCTGCAGCCTTTGGTTTAATATGGCTACTCGGGAAGCCTGCTCTGATCAGGGGCTACAAAAACCTAGTGCTCTCAGAAGTTACAGTTCTCCTTCTAACCTAACCAGCTGGCATTCTGGTTTTACATATCAGTGCTGTAAGCTGGGCTAACGGGAAACTCTTCCTGAGAATGAGGATGTTTCTTGCATGTTCTGACAAATCAGGTTCTTCCTAAACCTGAAAGGGAGAGAGGCTGGCCCCCAGTTAGGGTGGACTTGCAGAGGAGCTCTGGTGCGAGGCCTCTAGGGAAACAGACAGGCAGCCTTCTCTTGGGGAGGCCTGACCTTGACCTTAAGCAAGCCTTTTCTTTCAAGTCATCCAGAGGAATCTACACTTTTGGTTTCATTCTGGGTGAGGAAAATATTTTAATATCAGTCAGATTTCTATATTTACAAAGTATGAGAACCACGTCTATTAACCTTTGGATGATTGGTAGCCTTTCAGTGTTTAGCCATTCACTGTCTCTAAATAAATAGAAATGAGAGCAGTAGGTAAGCTGAAGTGAAAAAAAGGATGTCAGGTCTGCAATTCTAACACTTGTTACAAGTTACAGTTTTTTCAGCTACTTCATCAGGAAACGTAGAGGACTAAGCAAAGAAATTTTAGGATCTGTCATGACCACTCTGGAAAACCAAACAAAAAACATATGGCAGTGGCAGCAGCAACAGCAGTTTTCCTACCTTGGAGATGGTAGCATGTCCCAGAATGTCATCAGGGGAGGTTGGCTCCTCAATCCACAGCGGCTTGAACTCAGCCAGACTTGACATCCACTCCACTGCCTCAGGCACATCCCAGCGCTGGTTGGCATCCATCATCTGTAAGGAGAGACCCTTTGTGGTGAGGTCTGCCTGGTGTTGACCTTGCTGCAGGGCTGTGGCTCCCAGGAAAGAAATGCTGTCACTCAGTGCCACCGACTGCTGAGCAGGACTCCCATATCTTCTTTGGAGGCCCAGCACATAGCCATACAGCCATAACAAAGGGAGACAAAAAGCAGCCACCAAGACCAGAACTTTGGCTTCAGATAATGTCATTTCATTAGAACATTAATGAGATGCCGTAGGAACTTAACTCTTGTTTATATCACTTAGTCTATGGTAAAACTAGTTTCATTACATATCCTTTTGCTTAAAGCCACAGAACCTATCTATGATGTTAAGTGAGGAGGAGACAACAGTCACTCATGGAGCCACTGTCATGTCCAGAAGTGCCCTGGGCTAAGCCCGTGACAACTGCCTACTACCCCAGGAGCTCTGGCCCAATCGGTATTTAGATGCCACCGAAATACATTTGTGTTGTAGTGTTCATTGTTTGTAGGAACTGTTTTGTCACATTCTGAATCATGCACAGCCAATACTGAGTTTGTTCAATGGCTGTTTATTGCCTATTGCCTACTATGTGTCTGGCACAATAATGAATAACCCAAACTCCATCATTAATTAAGCACCTATGCCACTAGGCATTTCATGTATTTTGTCCCATTTAATATTTATAATAACTCTATGAGGCAGTTCATATCAACCCATTTTACAGATAAGAAAACTGACACACAGAGAAGTTAAGTAACTTACCCATGAATAATAAGTCAAGTAAATGGTGAGTTCAAATCTAGGCCTCACTCTAAGGCCCTGTCTCACTGCACACAGTGATCCTGCCTGGAAGCCAGGTGCTGGGTGTGCAGAAATTAACAAAGGGCCTTTCTATCCTGACATTATCACACTCCAAGAAGACAGATACAGAGATGGCTATCTCTAGTGGAATGTGCTAAGTGGTAAGAGTGCCCTTGTGAGATGCTTTCAGAACCAGAGGAAAGTACACCTCAAATCAATTATTATCACAAATAATTTGGATGAGGATGACCTCATAAGACATAAGTAGCATTAACTCATGTATAAATAATGGGACATCTGATCCTAGGTCAAGGATTCAAAACTTCTATTTTAACTCAGGAAACAAATCTCTAAAACGTCATACAAATATCTATTTGCCTTCCTTTTATGAAAATATTTTACACATAATAAGAAATGTTTTCAAAATTACACAGTCAGGAATGACTGATTCTTTCATTTATCTCAAAGTCCCAGCATTTCCTCACCAATGGCTCCCTGAGACCCATCTTCCTGATGAGATACAAGTCACTTGAAAATAACCCTGCAAACAGTATCTCTTTACTCACTATCAGGGCAATGACTGTAAACTACCTGCTGACCTGAAGATAAGGAACTAGAGAGAGCAGTTAGGTCTTTAATAACATTACCTGAGGTTTTGCTGTGTCATGAAAAGGAGTCAAGAATGAAAAAGTCGGGGCTGGCAGGGTGGTGCAGTTGGTTAAGAGCGCGAGCTCTGCGCAACAGGGTCGCCAGTTCAATTCCCACATAGGCCCCTGAGCTGCCAACAGGTGGCAGAATGTCTCAGCTGGTGAGAGCATGTGCTCTTAACAACAAGGTTGCCAGTTCAACTCCTGCATGGGATGGTGGGCTGCATCCCCCCGCAACTAGATTGAAAATGGTGACTGGACTTGGAGCTGAGCTTGCATCTTCCATAATTAAGATTGAAGGACAACAACTTGACTTGGAGCTGATGGATCCTGGAAAAACACAATGTTCTCCTTCCTCAATTCCCCAACACTATTCCCTTCCCCAATAAAAATCTTAAAAAAAAAAAAAGATGAAAAAGTCACAGACTTGAAGAAAAGAGTGGGGCTGGGAAGGGAAGCCAAGCTACTGGGGGGTGGAGGGGAGGACTTGTTAAGTAGGAAGGTTAAATGATTGACACACCAGGGCACAAATGGGAGGCCCGTTTGCTCAGGCGTATCCATATTAGCAAGAAGGAACTATCCCTAATTCTGATTTTAACTAGTTCTGCAGAATACAAAAAATGAAGCCCCCTCAGTTTTGTTTTGTTTTTTTAAGAGTTTGCCTGCTACAAAACCACAAAGCTGTACTTCCTCTGACATTCAGTTTAAAATTCCCAATGTTCTTTAATCCTTGCTTGAAATGAGTTGTTGTTTGGCTCTGGACAAAGGCTTCCTGCAAAGGTGCTTATGTCTCGCTGGAAGGACAAGATATTTACCAAGATCTTCTCAGGTCCAATTATGTTTCTGATGAGTCGGCATCTACGGATGTCATCCTGGAGATCAGCACCAACTTTTACCTTAAACCTATAAAATCAATTTGGTTTGAGAGTATAGATCTGTCCCCTGGCTTGGCAAAGATATCTGGATTTTCTGCAGAAGTGATCGTCTCTGTCAATAATTCACAGATCACATTTTCTAGTAACTTCTTGCTCTTTCCCAATCAATCTTCGGACAAGTCACTTGAAAATAACCCTGCAAACAGCATTTCTTTACTCACTATCAGGGCAATGACTAAATTATCTGCTGACCTGAAGTTAAGGAACTGGAAAGAGTAGTTAGATCTTTAATAACAGTAGCTGAATTTTTGCTGTACTATAAAAAGGAGTCAAGAATGAAAAAGTCACATGGTCCTTTACAAGAGAGCTTCATCCTAAATCAACTCAGTGAGGAGTCAGCCACAGGGACCCTGTAGGGGTCTGAGGTTCGGGGATTAAAGTGACTTGGTCACATAACTAAGGAGCAGCTGAGGTCTCCTTTATATCACAGCTGGTCACTTGCAGGAGCTCCCTTAATCTGTTGTGGCACCCAACTATTCTCCAGGCCTCTACACTGTTCCCCATGACTGCTGAAACTCTTGTTTGTCAGGAGAAGTCTGGTTGGCCTGAGTGTGACACTGCCATGTGGAGGAGGCGACACTACACCATCACAGGTGAGGCTGGCATCCTCTCCCTTGCTCACCAGCCTCTCCACCGTGCACACTTGACATCGAGGCTGTTGCTCCAGACAGAGCCTGCGGTCCTTCCTCTACTTTCCACAATGCCCACCCTCTGTGCCAACAAAAAGCCCTGTTGCAGAATGCTACACACATTCAGGTACCCACTGCTGTTCTCTTCCCTCCGCTCAGTACTAAACACACTAAAAAAGACATTTCTATCCAGGGTGGGGAGCTTCAGCTTCTGGATGCCGGGCTTCCTGTGTGGGGAGGGCTATGCAATCTCTCCTCATCCCTCTCTGACTGCTCCAGCCTTTCCTGGGTATTTAGAGAGGAAAGGTGCCAGCATTTACTGAGCACCTGCTATAATATAAATCCTGACTATGCTGGTCCTTTTTAGCTATGGCAACTTTGAAGAGAATCAGGAGTTAATATTCTTCTCATTTTACAGACAGAGAAAATGAAGTTCAGAGAGGTTGAGCAATGTGACCATGATCACACAGGAAATACTTGCAGGGGATGAGGGAAAAGGGGAAGGTTTGATTTCAAACCCATCACATCTCTAAGCCTCTTTCCACCGTTTCATGCTGACTCCTTCAAGTTCTCACTCCTCCAACCTTTATTTAGCCCAGGAGTTCACAAGAATTCAGCTCACTCAGAAGTGAGTGGCCACACCTATCACCCAAGGGTCTTGTTAAAATGCAGATTCCAATGCAGCAGTTCTGGGGAGAGGCCCGAGATTCTGCTTTGCTCCACAGACCACAGTTTGGGCAGCAGGAGGTTGGGTGGCCAGAATAAGTAAGAGTCACGTGGAAAGCCTGGTGATACATACTGGGCAAATGTGCCACCTTGAACTGCACTGATGGACTCACAGTGACCAGGTCAAGCGATGATGGCCCCTCTCTGTCCTGCAATGTATCAGGATTCAGGGCCACTGATAACCAGTTTATCTAGAGGAAGACACTAGGATGCCCAGGGCTCCATAACCACACAGGAGGGAAACATGACGATGGTTAGTCTGGAGAGAAGAGGGCCCAAGTGGAAGAGGAGCCTGACTCTTGGGAACGCCACAGAGAAAAACTGGGAGCAGTGGCTGGAAGTTAAAGGGAAACAAAGGGTTCATGACACTGAAGCTCTTTTTAACACTTGGAGCCCTCCAACAATGCAAAAGTACCTAACAAAGTTAAGATCATTGCCTCTGGAAGTTTTCAAGCAGAAGCTGAATCAATGCTTGTTTACTGACGGTAGAGTGGATTTCCAGTCTAGATTCATGCTTGAAATGGATGATTTCCACCGTCTCTTTCAACTCTGACGTTCTGAGATTCTAGTGAGGGCTCTCATCTCATTATTGGAAAACAGCCTGGCCTAGGCTAAAACTTCTCTTATGCGTTCCTATACACCAGACTGCTTCTGGATGATTCCTGGCCTCCTTGGGGACTTTGGGATCCTGGCTCCTCTCTACTGCTGAGCCTCTCATCTGCTGACTGGGCGGATCAAGTTCATTATCATACAAGTAAGTTACCTGGTCCAGCCATCCTTCAGTGCCTGGGTGCAGAGCTGCGGGGAGAGGGGCACAGTTAAGATGATACACTGAAAAGCTCTCCCTCAGCTCATGAGCACCTCAGTTATTTCTGATTTGGTTTCACAGATGCCATGGCTGTAGCAGGAACCAGAAGAACAGCCATGTGTTGTTGGAATTCTGAGCAGAAACAGCTTAGCCAACACATAACTCTTTGTGCTTATAGGGTGACTATCTTCCCTTGTCTCTATGGGAACCATTTCTTTAATTGTCACAACACTCGTGGAGGGGGAATGGGGCATTTATATACCTCTTTTCAAAGCTAGGATATTCTAGGGCACCCACAGGACTAATGGATGTAAGAGTAACAAACAGAATCTAGTTTCTTTCTCTCAGCTGTGGGTGAGTCCAGCATGATGGGAGAGCGTCATAAGTCAGTCATACTCTGATTACATACCATGTGTCAGCTACTGTACTGCGGGCATTACACAACTTCACCCATTTATCTGAATCCTCAAAACCACCCACAAAATAGAGATTATTTCCCCGTTTCACAGTGAGGAAATTGAGGCTCAGTATGGTGTCGTGTAACATTGTACAAGGTTATGCTGCTGCCTCTGCCTGCGAATTAAATCCTTCTAGAACCCAACATGGGGATCGCTGGTCCCAGGGTCCGGTGTCCACAATGTGAATGCCTTTACTTTTGCTTGAGTATAAGTACTTCCAGAATGAGGCCTTGGAGCCAGAATGACTTAGAAAGGCTAACAAGAAAATACTACATCTCTTCCAGAAAGCCAGGAGTATAAAATCTGTCTACCAAACCAGGTTCAAATGCCCACCTGCTTCAGGGTGTCATCTGAGTAGCCCAGCCAGGCGCATGACGTGGTGTAGGCAGGGTAGCCATGCGTCAGCATTTGCCCTTCTGTGGAAACACAACTCTTGTCAACACTTTGTGCTTTCTAGGGACCTTCAGAATTAGAATTGCCTGTAGCTAAGCTGCTGCCCCATGGAGAATCTCCTTCTGACCTGCCCTTCACATGTACCTAGCCCCTAGAATGGTGCAAATTCTGCGGATATCAAATGGGTGGTCAGGACACCCTCTAGGACTGGCCCACTAGCCAACGGCCTTCCTGCATAGTCACACCCAGGAGGCTTCTTTATCCAGAGTCAACTGGCTGTCTGGGAGGACAATGTGAACCCCCAACGGACAGGGACGCTCAAAAGTGAATGATGATACCAAAAATAGTTTCCTTACAACCCACCTCTCTCTTTTTTACCAACTTGACCTTTCTGCAGTATTTCTGGAAAAAATAAAAAGCAGCACTCTTTTAGACAACAAAGTACACCACCACATTGTTTACACATCAGCATGTACCAGAAAGCTTCCAGTTCCATCACTTGAATATGACTCACCATAGGCTTCCTCCTCAGTCAGGACATCAGTGATGTACCTGAAATCTATGCAGGATAACAGCATCCTGGGGTCCTGGCAGGGTGACAGGAGCGGGGAAAGGCCCAAATCAATTCACAAGCAGATCATGTTTTAAGAATCTGCTTACACTGATACATGGGGCTTATCCTTTCCGGGAAAGGACCTTTGGGATTTGTGTTACATTGTGTGATTCCATCATTCCTCGGTGTCGAGTCCTTCATCAGAGCAGCAAGGCGGCCTCCTGGTGAAGTCCTTAGGCCATCCCTCACGCTCCGACCCATCACTCATTTCCCATCTCTCCCTCCCTCGAAGCCTAAGCGCCTCATTCCGGGCTTCTGGAAAGAGGACCTGGTGTGAGGCAAGCACTCAGCACAAGTTAAATGGATAGATGAGCACCTGGTTTCACCCCATAGGTCACTGCTCCACACTTCAGGGCTAACCATGGAACTGAAGCAGCGTAGCAGGAGAGAAAAGAAGACTGGTCTCAGAACCCAGCCACTCAGGGTCAACCCTGCACCCACTGTTTATTAGCAGCATAAACTTGGGCAATTTCCTGTCCTGTAAATAGGGATAATTCACTTCACTGACAGGAACAGAGTGGATTAAACGTGAGAGTGCCCGGTGTGCCAGCTCCGGGGTCATCACAGACGCTGAGACCTCTCCCCACCCCAATCTAAGCGTCACTTGGGAAGCAACTGGCAGTTCCATTCCCACTTAGGTTTTACTGTGACCAAGGATACTCCACTATAGCTTTTAAAAGCTGTAAAAGCTCTTTCAATGCGGAGATTCTGCTTCTTTTAAGCGCACTGGCATTGAAAGAGGAAACAGGATCCAAAAGAATAAAAAGTCCACAGGTGGGATTTCAGGCACCTTCCTAGTGGCCCTCAGATCATCCAGGTTGGGGAACCACCTCTGCCCCCTTCTGAAAGACTAACCTGGAGCCTAAAGGTTGCTCAAAAGGTCCACGCCCTTCCCTTTCAGATGGCGACCCCATGTCACCTGCAACCATGTCAGACAGATGGTGTGATATCCACCTGTCTTCACTTTTCTCCAGAGAAGGGACAACGTCTGCTGGGCCAACAGTCTTCAAGGCCATGGTGTTATTTGCTTTTCCTTAACTGTGATGCCAAATAATAACAAGGGCCTTCATTTGTTGACCACCAGAATTTTAACAACCATTCAGGGCATCACCATGAGGCAGCTGACACTCAGGGAAGTTAAGTGACATGTCCACGGTTACCAGCCAGTAAGCGGTGAAGCCCAGATTCAAAGCCAGGTCTGCCTGGGTCTGAAGTTCACTGCCCTTAACTTGCCCAGAGTTTTTTCCTCCTCGGCTGCCAGGTGTTCATCCTGGCTGTAAACAGGTCAAGGAGAAAGGAGACTGTGAGGTGGCTATCATTAAACTTCTGTGTTTGGCTCCTTCCCTTCTGGAATCATACAGGCTGATGCAGCACGTGCTTTTGGAGTCAAAGTGACCATATAGTACCTTAATAATAGCATCTTGCTTTTCAGAGTTTTCTTTTCTCATTTGGTCTTTAATCCAATTCTGTGAGGTCCCCAGAGAAGTTATTATGATCACCCAATTTACATAGTTAGGAAGTGGGAGGCTCTAAAAATTTGTATTACGCGTGAAAGCTCCAGTGGGGGAGGCACGACAGCCCTGCCTGCGGGAGCACAGCTATCGTTACTTCAATTATCAGACAAGGCACATCACATTTTACTGGTGTTTTGCTTTATCATCACTACAGTGATCCACAGGCGGTCCTGAGGATATTTTACTGATCATCAAACAACAGGTAATTCATGAAATCTATTTCATTTACAGAAACAATTATAATGTTAAAGAATTTACTTACCATGTCAACAAGTAACTTCCACAGAGGCTTGAAGAAGAAAAAGAAAATATTTTTAAAAACATATGCGTAAAGTATGCAAGTAAATGCAAACACCCTCTCTCAAACACTGGCCCACCTGCCCACCAGTCTCTAACACTGCCTCCGAACGCTTCACCTTTATTGCCCATCCCCATTCTCAGCCCTTTCTAATCTACTACAATTTCCTAATTACTGCTAGTATCTCTAAGGGAGAAAAAAAATCAAATTGCCTGTGTTTCTTTTGGGGGGCCTGCTGTGTACTTGTCTTTCAGGCTGCTCACAGAGGAAGTGTTTATTCCTCTGCGTGTGTTGTGTTGTTCCACAGAAGTTCTCCTGAGTGCGTTACCTTTCCCTCCTGCTTGGCCCACAGGTCCCACACAGCATTGAGGATGGCCGCCGTGGCCAGATGCACAGCACCTTTCTCGGGACCAATCTGGTTAGGAAGCAGAACACACCACACTTCTTAGAAATGAAAAAGATAGTTAGATCTCCTAGCCAGGGTCACATTTCAAGAATTAAAAGGCAGCAATGAAAACCCACTTAAAGGCTAAGTTTTTTTATAATAGTTTCTAATCTACAGAAGAGTTGCATGAATAGTACAAAAAAAACTCCTGTATATATATACTTCCTTTCTATTTCTGTCTTTCTCTCCCTGTATATATTATATATATATTATATATGAAAGTAAATGTAACTTCCTGCAAACACCTGCCCACCCATCTTTAACACTGCCTCCTAACCCCTCACCTTTGCTGCCCCCTCATCTCAGCCTTTTCTAACCTATTCCTACAATTTCCTAACTACTACCAGTATCTCTAATGGAGAAAAAAATCAATATAAATAATGACTTATAAAAATAATATAAATAAAATTTATTTTACTGAACCATTTGAGAATAAGTTGCAGATGCCATGTCCCTTTAACCCTAAATACTTCAGTGTGTAGTTCCTAAAAGCAAGGACATTTCTCTTACATAATCATAGCACGAGGTTCAAATTCAGGCACTAGAACACAGATAGAATTCTATTAGCTAAAAGACAGTCTATAATCAAATTTCACCAACTGTCTCAATAACGTACTTTACTTTATTCACATATTGCATTTAGTTGTCATGTCTCTTTAGTCTCTTTTTATCTGGAAAAACTTTTCTTCTTTTCTGAAAAATGCTGTTGACATTTTTAAAGTGTACAGGCCAGGTGACCTGCACAGTGTCCCTCAATTTGGGTTGAGCTGCAGTTTCTTCATGATTAGATTCAGGTTATATACTTTTGGCACAAATTCTACATAAGTGATGTTATCAATTGTTTTTTTATTAAGGCTTTTAACTTTCAGCATTGGGTAAGTTAGTGTGCATGAGGCTGCTGCACTGTGAGGTTACCATTTCTTCTTCCTAAGTAAGGAGATTAATATTGCCCCCAAATTTTAGCATCCATTGATAATTCTTGCCTCACACAATTATTATTACGATGATTTCAACATGGTGATTGCCTAATGTTATCATTCCTTTTATATTAGTTTGTATTCTATTGTAATGACAATCTATCCCTTGTTTGTTTGTTCACCATCTGAATGGACTCATGAATGTTAATGTTATTCAATGAGTTATAAGCCATTACTACCATATTTATTATTTTGCTGCTTGAATTGTCCCAGATTTGGCCACTAGGAGCTTCTTCAAGAAGAAGCCTTTAAAAGCAAATTTAACTTGCTTTGCAGAAGTTAAAAATGAAATCTGAGGCGGTGTGAAAAGGGCATTCTCTTGTGCCTTTCTCTGAGCATGGACGGGAGACTGAGCAGACTTAGGAAAAGGCAGAGCTGGTGTCAGGGGGCAAGGGCAAGGTCCTGGTTACTGAACTGACCTTACTTGATAGAATCCTTTCTCTAGAACCTCATTTTTTTCATGCCTTGAGCTTAGGGTTCAAATAAGATCTATGCACATAAAAGGTGCTCTAGTCTCTAACTTCTAACTTCTTAATTTTGCTCTTCTCTTATGTTTCTGTCCTTAATCCAAAACTACTCACATTCTCTCTCCCCCAGAAATGTTGCCCATTCAGCACTTAATCATCTGGAAAGTGTAGACCACCATTTCCTCCCATTCAGGGATGAGGTACAGAAGGGCAGAGACAACTCCCAGAATTCAAATATGTCTGGATTCAAGTCTTACAGAAAGGAATCAATTACCTTAAAACATTGATTGTCTAAATGGTTTAAGTCTTAATTTATCTGAATAAAATGTTTTACCTCAAAATTGTAATCCTGTCTCTATTTTTACATTTGTCACAATTAAAGGACATCTTAGACCTTAGTAACATTATTTATAGAAGCATTTTACAAAATAGACCCCTTACCCATCTAAGCTGTCCGTCACTCGTGAGCTGCCTATAGAAGCCTCTGAAGTCGCCAACAATGTCCCTTAGGTCCCTGTTAAGCACATGGTGGGCCAGGGCATTCACAGCACAAACAACTGTTAAAAGAGGATTTAATTCTTGTGTATGTTTTGGTATGAAGTCTATACATTAAGATATGCAAGCACCACAAACAAACTAATGTTGGCATTTTACAAAAATAATTTTAAATACAAAAGGTATATGCTTTTTAAACTTGCCCCAGATATATCTTCTGTAGTTGTCATAGTAATAGCACACAAGTAGAACAGCTGTTAGTCCGTATACTGAGCTTAATTTCTGAGTTGAGCAAATACATTTTGATTGGTTGACATGTGAAAAGCAGACCACAGATATGCAAACTTAAATCATGTTCCCAAATTATTTTCTTGTTCATTGTAAAGTGTCCAGACAAATTCAAAACCAAACCTTGCTAGTTCATTGTGCCAAAAGAAGAAGACTAACTTACAGAATTAAAAAAGAGAATGGCTTTGCACTATTGTCAAGTATGGAAAATAACTTGAATTCACAACATAACACATGATTAAAGATGAAATGAAATGAATTTGCAATTAGCTTAATACATGTAAAATGTTCAGGTATACATGAAAACACTAGTCATAAACATTAAGTTGCTTACTATTGACTTATAATATACTACATTTTTCATAAGTAACTTGAAAGTTAAACTTAACTTGGGTCAGCATTACCAGTGATTATTTTTGGTGTTTTACTTAAAAAGGCTCTATTGTATTATTTCAGATGAAGAATAAGTAACAAATCAAATGGGAATTTCTATTCCTTCTATCCTTTACTCAGTCTCTAAAACACTTAGTCTATATATGTGTAAACAGCTGAAATAATCAAATCACCAACTTAGCCCCGAAGCAATTAATTTATTAGAAAAAATCTTGATAAACTCATTATTGCCACTGCTTTAATATTAAAATCCTTAGGTCACTTAACAGGATAGTTGTAGAGGTGCAGTTTTACTTTCAATCATATCCTAGGAAAAAGACCTTTGAATGTATTTGAAACATGCTCTTATAATATGCCTGGCCTCTGGGTGAAACAGCTCTCAGACAATTATGCACTTGCTCTCATTGGAGCATTTAGGGCTAAACCAACCATCCAGTGTTCTCTAGGGCTTTTGTTAATGGGCTACAGAATCATTCCAGTTCAGATAGTCATACCCTAGATTTGTGAGAAGACAGAATCCTCACTTTTTGATGGTCGGTGCTCTTAGATTAAAGCCATCTGAAGAGTAAGTCAGCGACTCAGAGAGAGGAGTATCGTTATCTGCATCAAACCTCCATCTCATTGATCACATGGTTGCTAGAAATCACTGACTGAAGCACCTCTGGTTTGTGTCACAAGGGCACATGAAGAGCAAGCAGTATACCGGAACTCGGTGTGAAGCATTTCAAACAATGAGTAGACTCACTGTGCATATCACAATAAGCCTTACTATGTGAGCGCACCATGGCCCTCAGTCTCACCTAGTTCAGGTCCTCAAAGCTCTGCAGAGAAATGGACTGAGATTAAAGGATTTTCCTGCAGTCTATCCATGACTGCAAGAGGAAAGGCTAAATTCTGTCACTTTTTAGTTTCTCCCAATGAAATATAAAAACCATGAAAGATTGTTTTTACTCACTTTGAGTAGTTAATACAGAGAAAAATAAGGTCAGAACTGGAACGTAAGTGAAATTTAAGCATTCTGGAACCTTGGGAATGTCCAACTCACCAACTTCAGTGCCTTTTCCCAGAGTGAAGGTAATTCCGTACCCCTGGAGTCCATCTTCTGCATCAGTCTCTAAGACAACATAGGCAGCCGAGTAGTCAGGGTCTGTGTGCTGCAGAGAGTTTCCCCCACCCAAACAACACACACATGAGAAATCCAAAACAATTCTGATGATGACATCACTAAGGATAGAAAATGCCACAGGAGATATGTAAGAGCACCAATCGGATGGCATCCTAGATGCAACCCAAAGAAAATGCAGGTACTCCAAATGGACAAAAGGGACATCCTCCCAAAGGATTCAAATTATTTTAACAAGTGTAATAATGTGTACATGTTTAATGCCAGTTTGCAATTATGTCTACTTTGATGTTCAGCTCAATTTTAAACCCAGTTTCGCCCACAGCTATCCCTGTCTTTGAACAGTTACATTCACAAGCAGTTTCAAATTGCACAAGCCAAGGTTTCAGGAAATTCTCACATAAAATTGGATTTATCTTCAGTGTAGCCTGTTAGAGCAGGGCTGAAAAGACAATGGAATAAATTCAGAGGAGATCACTGAGGGAAAATGAAAAATTAAAACTTCAAGACAAATTAAGCCAATATTTTTGGTGGGTTTTTTTTAAAGATTTTTATTGGGGGATGGGAACAGCGCTGGGGAATTGGGGGAAGGGGAACAGACAAGTTGCTGTTCTTTTGTTCTTCAGTCTAGTTGTGGAGGACGTTGCTTCACTGGCCCAAGTTGGCACTATCATTGCACTTTTCCCAGGTGAGGCAGATCAGTCGCCGGCTTCTGGACGGCCGCTCATGGTGGCTGCTGGACGCTCACACTGGCTGCTAGCTACACACGGTAGCCCATGGCAACCCACTGCAGCAGGGGCTGCAGCCTACAACGTCGCCGGCGACCCACGGCAGCCCAGCTCCAGGTTGAGCTGTTGTTCAGCATCTTAGCTGTAGAGGGCAGTGTCACTAGCCCTCATATGTGGGATCCGAACCGGGTCCCTCTGGCGTCCCAAGCCAGCTCTTAACCAACGCGCCACTCGGCCAGCCCTTTTTTTGTTATTTTTAAAAAACTTTCTACTATAAAACAGTATTGTAATAATAAGCATTTCCTGACTATTATGAAACTCAACATTACTTGTCGATAAGGGGGATGCAGAAGTAAAAAAGCACAAATCTATCTCTAGACATTTCTCATATAGTTGGGAGAAAAAGCCAACACACAAAAACAGGTGAGAACCACTAAGACAGTACAAAGTCATGTTCTGATGTGTGGTTGGTTAGAAGTGCCACAGAAGTTCAAGGAAGCAGAGCAAAGAAGTAGGGGACCAGGACATTGGGATGGGCAAGGAGGCAGATGAAGGCATGCAGGTAAGAGAGCGATACAAAACTTGGCGTTCTTGTGAGACAGAGAAGTAAAAGGCCCATGAGGGTACTGGTTTGCAAGTGAATGAACACAAGATTGGATGAGTGGTATGGGGGCAGATAGTGGGCACCCCAAAAAACCAGGCAGAAAATCTAAATGCATTAATGAGGAATATAGGGTGCAACTATTGAAGAATTTTGCATAGGGCTATGACAATTTATTACTATTTTTGTTATAATATTTATTGTTCTGAGCACACTATTCTAAGAGATTTACATGATTTAATTTAATCCTCACGACAATATTATAAAGTGCTATTATCCCTATCTTACGGATGAGGAAACTGAGTTCAAAGAGGCAGAATTTAAATCCCTGTGTTCAGGGAGGGGAGGAGGTGATGGACAGGAGGCCTGTGTCTGGTGAAGGCTCAGGGTCGGGCACTTGGAGTAAAGCGTTGCTGAGCACCAGCTGCACATCAGAGACTGCAGATTGATGAGGGGGCACAGACATGTCTGCCCTTGAGGAAGTTCCAGTTTAGAAGCCATGGTTACAGAAGCTCTAATACTATGAGGAGAACATGGTAACTCTCCGGGAGAGATGCAAATGACAAAAGCCAGACAGAGAGCACTATTAACTGAATGCACTCAAAGCTGGGGGAGATTTATGATGAAAGTAGAATCTGAGCTGGTCGGTTGAGGACGGGGAGCTCTGCAGCAGTGTGGAGGGGGCATGGAGGATCTGGAAGGAAAGAATATCTCAGGTCAGCTGGAGGCAGTGAAGGGATAGAAAAAGGAAAGAAAGGAATATATTTAAGGGTTAGTGGCCATCCTGGTTTGGCCTAACCATTGGGTTTCTGAGGGGGAAGTTGGGATATAAGACTCAGAGGGAGAGTCCAGGAATTAAAGACCCATGGACATTTCTGGGCTTTGTGGAGAAGCAATGGAAAAAGGAAAGCTTTCACTGAAGCTTTCTGTGAGCGTCAAAAGAAGAGATGAGCCTAGAGCAGCGGTTCTCAAGCTTCCTAATGCTGTGACCCCTTAATACAGTTCCTCATGTTGTGGTGACCCCCAACTATAAAATTATTTTCGTTGCTACTCTATAACTGTAATTTTGCTACTGTTATGAATCGTAATGTAAATACCTTTTTGTTTTCCGATGGTCTTAGGCGACCCCTGTGAAAGGGTCGTTTGACCCCCAAAGGGGTCGCATCCCACAGGTTGAGAACCACTGGCCTAGAGTGAATTGAAGCTTTTGAGTCCTTGTGACTGACTGGCAGAATGATCCCAGAAGAATCAGGATGGAGAGTGGGGCAGAGAATAGAAGACGATGAGTTCAGATTTTGATAGGTAGTGTTTAGTGTGAAGGTGAAAAATCCAATGGGAAGTGCCCAAATGGCAGCTGGACTTGAGGTGAGAGGGAAGATCCAGAAATGGGATCTGGGCATCTCTGGCATAAGTGACACTGAAACCATGAACATGGAGGAGGTCTTAATGGGAAAGGCTTGAGGCTTGAGCCTTGGGGAGGCAGAAGAGAGTCAGTAGAAGAAGAAAGCGCAGCCAGAAAGGCAGGTGGCCAGTGGGCAGAGAGATGGCAGAAAGAGGGGCAGCAGAGAGTGTGAATGAAGGACACAGGAAGCAGAAATAACAAGGGGATTCCAAGAGAAGGAAGGAGACAGAAGGCAACTTCAGATTAAGGAGGAAGTAGATGTACAGGACAGAGGCAAGAGGCAGACCAAACCAGTAGTTTAGTGTTTGGAGGGGAAGGGGGAGAGACAAAAGGGAGTAGAGAGGTGTTAGGGTCAAGTAAAGTCGGAAGCCCCTTCCAAATAGGATGGAGAAGGAACCATCGGAAAAGGAAAGACTGAAGATGAAAATGCTAGAGATGGAGGGGATAAGAATGGGAGCCGGAAGGTCAAGAAGGGTAGAAATGGGGACACAGGAGAATACATTAGTTTGGGAGAAGGACACAACTTACAGAATAAAAGAGGAGAGGGTTGGTTTGGAGACTGATGTGTGAGATGGGGCCAAGGGTACATTTGTCTTCAGTCTTCTTGGGGATGCAGTAGGCAACGTCTTCTAACTGCTGGAGGTGCAGGACTGGGGGCAGGAGGAGGGAGATGGTTTGGAACAGCTGCTGCTCAGCAGACAATGGGGAAAGGAGAGGATAAGAAATCATAACTGGAACCCTTTGCTTGAATAGATTTGGGGGACAGTTTCAGGGCTCCTTCATGAAAACATCCTACTTGTGATCAGGAAGGCCCACTCTGCTACTAAGTGCTGAATGTAGCTGAACATGCCATAAGGGCTTGGGAAGCAACACGAGAGTTATGGCTGGGCCAATCAAGAACTGCAGAGTAGCATGTTCTATGATGAACGCACTTGAGAATCAGCACACAACACACATCATACCTCTGGGAAATAAACACTTAAGTATTTATGAGCTTGCAATGCAGGTGTCAGAGGTCATAAACCACTCAGGCCCAGACACAAATTCCATTCCTTATTCTGCAGCAAACCAGGCTACTTCAACACTTCACAAATTCAAAATGGAGGAAAGTCTAGGTCAGAGCCTCTCTGCTTCAGTTTCCTCATAAATAGTAATTATAGCCAACACTTGTTGATGGCCTTCTCTGTGTCAAGCTCTTCACAGGCATCTCATTAACATGTATAAAGTGGATAGCATTATACCCATTTTACAGATGAGAAAACCTAGGCTTGGAGAGATTGAGTGGTTTCTCCACAGCTGTGGCATTTCAGAGGGGCAAAGGCCCCTCTGAATTTATATATTTACTATATAAATCAGGTGCTTGGATTTTACAAGCTAGTAAGATTTTAAACATTTATTTGGAAATCCACAAAGGATTGCCAGCTGGGTGTTTTTTAAGTCATTTGCCATAATATTATATAAGAAAAAACACATAAGAATTTTAAAAAGCAGGAAGAACTAATCTCAGAACAAAGAACATTATTTTAAATGTAATAACTTTGTTTAGTTAGCACTTTTTAACAAGAAGCCTATTTTACATTTTATTTTAATTTTTTTTAGCTGAGCCATCCTGCCACCTGTTGGCAGCTCAGCGACAGGCAGCTCAGCTCGGCCGGGAATCGAACCGCTGTTGCTCAGAGCTCCCACTCTTGAGCAAGCTCTTAACCAACTGAGCCACTTGGCCGGCCCCCAACAAGAGGCCTATTTTTATAAAATATTTCAGGTACACAAAGATCATAGGTAAGGTAATGAACATCAGTGTGCCCTCTACCCACTTAAGAAGCACATCACAGTGTGAATTAGAGTCCTTGGGGACCCATTCTCCTCCCTCCACACAGGTGACAGGTCACCATTATTCTAACATGGATGTTTCTCACTTCCGAGCACGTGTTCACACATTCATGGCATACCATGTAATTTTGTTTTTCTAGTGTGGCCATCTTGTGGGTGTCCCGAGCAGGGCAGTGAGGATCCAGTGGGTTACAGGTCTCAAGGAGACCCTGCACAGAACTCATGTATTTGGGAACCATTGCAACTAGATGGCGGTGGTAACAGGGTGTTCCTCTAACATTCTCTGTAAGCAAAACACCTTTCAGTATTTCGGTAGGAATCAAAGTCTGTGCCTTTACTGCATCTTCAAAGACTGATACTTGCATAACTCTTCACAGTGACAAGTCTTTTCTAACTATATACATTTTCAGGTAATTTCATGAAAGCCTCCTCTTGCGTGATCCAGAGTTACAATACTACGGGCTTGTTTGTCTGGTTTCCCAGCCAGATTGACTCTTTCGTTTCACAGATGGGGCCAAGAGGTCCGGATAGGTTAGGTAGGGTCTTCTCTAGGACACACAGCAAGTTGTGGCATAGGCAGGATCACCTCCCAAAACGCAACCCAGGCCGGGCTTCCGGGTCTCCATCACCCAGAACTCCATCAACTTCTCTATACTGTAAGCCAGTGTTGTGTCCTAGGGCTTAGTTGGTGGGGTCCCAACAAAACCATTTTGCTGTTGTTACATATTATGTATTCTACAATTTCCAGCAAAGTGCTGATCATAAATGTAAAAAACAGGAAATATTAAACTCCAGAAAAAAAAAACACCAAAAACCCAGAAGGGTGGAATGTTTCTGGATATTTTTAGTCCCCTTCTCAGCCTCCTCCTCTACACAACTCTTACAACGTTTGGAAGCACCCCGGGACTTGCCAGGCTCCTCACGGCTAAGCGGGCCTTGGCACCGGCAAGGCGGGAGGGCACCCGAAGGTCAGAGCTTACCATGGCGTCTGAGCCGTGGCTCCCCAGCGACGTGGGGAAGCGCACGTCGCGGACCGAGAGCCGGGAGATCCTGCCACACACCATATCGCCGAGCACCCTGGAGCCGCGCTAGCTGCCAACTCCTGTTTGGACCCCGCGTTCCAGGCAGAAGACCAGAAGGGGCCGAGCCCGGCACAGCGGGCTCTGATTGGCCGCGCGCTTCGGGGGCGTGGCCGCGCACGTGAATTTGGCAGGACCCGAGCTGCAGGCCCGCCCAGCTCCGGGCTCCGGAAGCCACCCGCACTGCCGCCGCGTTTCCGCCGGGCTCTGGCCGGCGTTTACCCGCGCGAATCGCCCCCCGGGGCGAGGAGGCGGGCCCCCGCTGGAACCTACTCCGCCCGGGACTGGAAACTCACCAAGTGACCTTACCCGGAGCGGCGCCCAGGAAGGAGAAGCCAGATCTGACCAGAGTGCGATCTTCTAGATTCTAGAAGATCTAGAAGCCGATTCCGGCCACAGGCTCTGCTGCTGAGTCCGCTGGCCGAGGCCGGCGCAGCCACGAGAGCTGTGGGATAGAAAATCCTAGGTGTCTTAAGCCTCGGTTTGCCACCTGATAAATTAAGAGGCAAGTCACCACTTAATACACCCCTGCTAATGCAAAGTGCTTTAAATACATTACCTCTTATTTGACCAACCCTGAAAGGTAGGTAGATCATTTTTCATTTTATTGGTGAAAAAAATGGGTATTCAGAGATCAAGTGACTTAAATGACTTGCCCGAGGCCACACAGCTAAGTGGCAAAGTGTCTTCCTGTAAACCCTGGGCTCTGTCCTCTGGATTGCAAGTACTTATTTTTGGATCCCTCTGAGAACATGATGAAAGTTATGGACACTCTCCCCAAGTTTTACACACGCGTTTTTTTTTTTTTAATATTTTAGAGGGTTCACTGATCCTTTGCCTTGCAGTACAGCACACCACCTTTCAGTTCCTACCTCTGGGAAATGCTTTGAAAATTAAATGTTTGGGAAGCAATGCTATAGATATTATCCTATTAATGTGTTCCTGTGGGTATGGCAGGGATATTTCCAGGGACACCCAAGTCTCCTCTGCTGCTCCAGGATGCATATAACCCTGTTGAATGAGTTCTTTTGGGTTAAGGCTGACATGGTCAACTCAAATGCCTGCAGAGGCTAGGCAGACACCAGGAAGCAAGGGACTGAGGCAGCTGTGACTGTGACTAAGCGCCTTTGCTCTTTGAAAGGGGTAGCCAGTTACCTACATGATTGTGGTCCTGTGGAAATTAGAGCCCTGGGCTGCTGCATCTTCTCATTTTCCAAGAGAAGTCTGAAATTCAAATGTTCATTTTTACTTTACTTCCCTAAATGCCATTGAAACAAGGCTGTATAAAGCAGATTTGAAGGAAGGTTTGTGTTGTGGTCACAGGGGAGCTGAGCAAGCATTTTACAATTGAGTATTAGATGTTTCTTCAAGATCTGTGGGCCATTGTTTCTTGCTACTATGGTTTTCACGCATTGTCTAACTTAGCTTCCATTGTTTTACTAATTTTCTGAAGACTTTTTCTTCCATTTTCTTTTTCTTTGCTCAACACTCCCACCCCCTCCTCATTCCTATTCATTTTATTCATGAATTGAATGATGCATTCAATTTTTGAATTGGGGTGTTACAACTAATTGTTTAATGGAGTTTTACCACATATGGTTTACCAATTTCTGAAAAATAGAAATTTAATTGAAAAACTCTTAAATTAAGATTTCAGTTTTGAAATTGGGAGTATCAAATATTCTTAAAATTTGCTCTTCTCTCCAGTTAATAAAGGTCTGAAGGTAATTTTACACTTAATACAATATTGTATGTTGCTCTTATACTTACATTTTTAGTGTTTTGTATAAACTGTCACTTTGATGTAAATTTCCTATTTTATACTGATACAGCTATTGATAGTATGACAAATATCAGTAAGGATTCCAGCTAGAAACAGATGGCACACTCAAATTAAGATAAATCAAGGATACTTAAAAAGGGACCAGCAGGAAAGGGGAACCACAAGAATTAATGCAGTAAAACCAGTTAGGAGAAGCACCCCTAAGGCAGAAGAGATAAGGGATGGGAGCTGTTATCAGTTCCCAAAGAGGCCATATTGAAAGGAATCTGATTGAAGGGCATAGCCAGCCCAGCCTCACAGGGAGGGAATCCGGGGGATGGATATCTTGATCTTTTTTTTCAGGTTTTCTCTGATCTTCTGTTAAGAGTTCCTCATTGGCTTAACCCAACAGGAATCCAGAGAGTGAGTGAACTCAGACAAGTGCAGGTCAGCCTTCCAGCAGTGTGGATGTGGAGCGGAAAATGGATGATTCCTGGCACCTGCTGCTTATTTTAATCATTAGTATTCCTTTCTGTATTAACAGTTTGAATGTTAATTAGTGAGGACTCTAGTTGTTGGTGACAGAAACTCAACCTGATGTAATTTAAACAAAAAAGAAACTGGAGAAGAGTAGGGGAAGTGATGATTTCAAGGAAATAAATGCTATTGGAGTTCACACTCTCTTCCTCATCTCTGCATGTTGGTTTCTTTTGTAACGACATGGGGGACCTGGTCTCCAGCAGCTGGGATGGCACCTTTAGAGCATTATCTTCAGATGAGAGATGAAATTCATCTTTCAACTGTATAGACAAAAGTCTTGGAGGACATTACTAAGAGATGTAAATGAAGATTTGCATAAATGGGGTGGGAAGACATTTGAAAGATGTTCTTATCAAATTAATTTATAAGCATAATGTAATCCTAACCAAAATCTCACTTGAATGTTTTGGGAATATGAAAAATAAAGTCTAAACTTCATTAAAAAATTTGCGGGAATAACAAGATTAAATAAATATATATATATATATATATATATATATATATATATATATCAAAGGTAACTTCTTAATTATTAAAATGCATTATCAAGTGATTAGTAATTAAGTGTTATGTTGATGGAAGAATGAACAAAACAGATGTGTGTAGATATGTGCATAAATAAAGTTAAGAGTCCAAACCTGTGGGTAGGAATGAATTAACCAATAAATGGTGCTGGGAAAATTAACTATATGGGAACAAAAATCAGACTTAAGCCACATTTTACACCCAAAAAACTTCCAAATGAATTAAAATGTAAAAAAAGAAAAGTATAAAATATAACAGATGAGATGAATATTTAACCTTGGGATGCAAAGGACTTTTTCAGCATTAATAAGAAGATTTGACAATATACAAATGTACGAACTTAAGTGTCAAAAAAATTACATGCAAAATTAAGAGGCAACTAGCAAACTAGGAAAATACTGAGAACTATAACTATACTGTATAAAAATATTTAATAAATGTTTACTAATTTATGGTTTTTGATTAAATGTTACTCTGAAATCAGGGAAAAACAAAGCTAATAATTTTAGATAATATAGTAAAAGGTAATATTAATACCTTATTGAAAATAACAAATGCTTTTGACTGGCCATTCATACTTTAGTATAACTTTATTTTCATTACACTTATAGAAGTTAAAACACACACAGAAATAAGGCTCATGTATTTTTCATTTTTAGAAAATTAAATCCCTCATGATCAAAAGTTATTCTATTTTTATATCCTTCAACGCAGATTCTCTATAAATAGCTTAACTCAAATCACTTAGGTTTCTCTGTACAATACATTAACTGTAGTTGCTAGTATAATGAAAAAACAACAAAAAACAAACTTGTAAAAATAATGTCACTCACCTGACAAGGAAAGCTGACCACATAGAATGAGTTCAATGTTTTGGACTTGAGCAGAATTAAATCAATTCTTTATTAAGAGTTATAACTGAACACTTTTTTCCCCCAATATAAGAACAAATTCAGAATATACTTTGCTTTAAATACCAATTTAAAAAAATGGATGAGAAAGTATGAATGGTGGCTAAAAAGATAAATGGGTATATTCAATGAGAATTTTTATTTCAATTATCCACAAAACAATATTATAATACTTTATAAAAATATTAAGTTTTAGGCTACCATTACTTATTTAAAAAGTGTTTGTGCTAGAAGGTCATTTTTGCCAACTTTTTTTTTTTTGGTAAGGGTTAAGGTCCACATTAAGATATTGAAGACTGTTGGAAAAAAATCTTCAAATGTACAAAGTTGTTTGTTTTGCTTGGCAATTTAAAAATAATCATTTAAACTGGATACATATTGAGTTAGTGTTACTCCCTTACTATACAACTGATATTATAAGGAACAGCTCCATTCAATTAAAACCTAATGAATACCATCAACTTTTCCTGACTTATTTTTCTGAACAGAATTAGTACATAAACATAATTTTGTTATCCTTTTTTCAACGCGAGAAAAATTATATCATAGTTCACATAGTTCACATGAAGCCCTTTAAAAATCTGATTTCACAGGTTGCAGACGTTAAGGGTAAATGATGATGGCAGTCTTCGTAGGAAGATCCTCTTGGAAGAGGGATTCAATACTAAACAGGTTACGTAAACATTAAGAAACCACCAAAATTTTTAGTACCAAAACTGTTGCCAACTTACATGAAGTTTATCTGTAACATTTCAAAATGGTTTGAGTTTCAACAAAGATACTATGGCACAGAATTTTAAACTTAATGATTAAATCAGGTAAGTGATGGTAGGTAAAAATTATATTCCTAAAATATGGGGACTTGATGTATTGCTTTATTTAAAGTGTGACTTTAAAAGAGTATTTTAAAACATAAATACCAGACTTTTATTTTGTCTGATTCAGTTCCTTTGCCAGATCCTTAAGCCAGTAATGCTGCTAATAAAATTCATATTTTGGAATGTCTTTCTGAGTTAGTCACAGAAATCAGTCTTATTTTGTATGTTTCACTCTGCACTTTAAATAGGCAAAAACTGTCCCCTCTTTTCACCAGTGTTATCATTCTGAATAAGTTTTATTCTCTATATTAACTAAATTCTAAGAGGGAAAAATTTTGTCACCATTAAGTATAAAGTAAATGTAGATTTGAAAACTGGGTTTTTAAAAATGTTTTGCATAAAAGCTGTCTCACTGGAATTAGTGGAAAGTCTTAACTTCATTATTCTGAGGCTATAACATTCATTTAGTGTTTATTGTCTTATAGTCATACCGTATAACTTAAAATTTCACAAAATAGGTTAAGTGAGGAACTCTGACTGCCAGCAAAGCCATTTTGTCACTCCATAACACCAACATGAAACAACATTCCATCCCTCTATCTGTAAAACTTTCACATTTTCTTTTCTCATATTTCTTTTAAATACATTTTTCTCTCAGTGTATCTGCAATAAGAGCAAAGTGCATTCAAGTCCCTGATCTCGTGATATTTTTACATTTGTGGCAACCATTACCATAAGTACATATTTAGCAATATCTCACAACACCAGTCTGTTTTTTAAAAAAGGACTACTTAAATGCTGGGACTTTTCTCCCTCGGATTGGATAGTATAAATTCAGTTATATATTGCCTTTAAAATCAATGCAACCTTATAAAAGATTAAATTAATTTCTAGTTACCTTCATTATTTGAAACTGAGCTATTCAGAAATGATTAAAGTGAAAAATTTCTTCTATTTCCTATTCCATGAGTTTGAGTGTTAACATAGTGCATTATAATTTCAAATCCCACTGTTATTGTTTAAAGTTTTAGATGTTGTTTATATTCCTTTCTGCTGCTAAAACCTTGCTGATTTCCATGCAAGGGAGGCATATTTCAGGACTGCATATTAACTGTTCAACTTATAAAAAATCTTTGAGAATATGAATGCAAGAAAATCTTAGAAATGGAATGGAATTGTTTGGTCCCATGAAGTTCCTTGATTTTAGATTTTATTATGGTATTGTTTTGATCTCCCAAGTTTTTCTACAATGATAAATAATTTTGTTAACAATTCTGAGTCTGGGGAATTAAAAAAAGGAAGTGATTTATAAACAGTAGCCTTGTTGTTTTTCATTGTCATGCTATCAAATTGTCATCAATATCTTAGCTATACTTTTCTTTGGACCCTGAAATAAGTTGGAAAATTCATCATCGGTACTTTACAGTTTAACACTTGGGGAAAAAATAGTGGTTTTGTGCAACCATATCTGGAATTCCAGTTTACCATTAAAAACATGCAGAGTGAAGATTTTCTTCTTTTGATTCCTGTACGTAAGTGAGGAAGTCGACGTAAGTTTTTACATTTTGGCAGGTTTGTGCATATAAAATAGACTACTTGGATTATAAATTTTCTCCTGGCTGGTACTGTGGCTCTGTAGCAGTGAAGTAGTCTTCCAAGAAGGACTGAATATATTCAAATGTTGGTCTTTCATCAGGGTCCTTCTTCCAGCAAAGATTCATTAATTCATGTAGGGACTCTGGACAGCCCTGAGGGCAAGGCATCCTATATCCTCGTTCCACCTGTTCCAGTACTTCACGGTTTACCATACCTAGCACACAAGATTCAAACATGAAACAACAATGATGCCAAACACCACTAGCATACAATGAACTTATTGTGGTAATAACTTCACAATATATATGTAAATCAAACCATCATGCTATACACCTTAAACTTATACAGTGATGTATGTCAATCATTTCTCAATAAAACTAGAAAAAAAGAACAGAACAAATCCCCTAGCCATGAACTGATTCAAAGTACGGTAAGTTTACTTAGTGAAAGGTTAATTTAACAAAGAAATAAATTTTCAATGTCAAAGTATATCAAGAAGAGCTTAGAAAATGCTAGCCTGTTTCAACATGTCTAATTTTTTTCGTTCCACCCCTACCCTTGCTTTGAACACTAATGTCTTCAAAAGCCAATTCCATTTGATTAGTGAAAATTTAGGGTGCTACTACTTTGAGGTACTGGTACTTTCTGATATTAACAGTTATTAATGACCAAACTTAGGCTAATGAGGAACAATGGCAAGATAGTGTTTTCTAAAAGAACTTTCAAACAATTCAGAAGAAAGAGTTCTTCTAGTCCTGGTTTTGCCAGATATACCTACTATGTAACTTTATATCAAATCACTTGACTTATCTAATATCACCTGTTTGCTTTTCTTCAAGTTATTATACAGTTCCTTTCTGGTGTTCCTTTGTAAACCCCTACGCCCACCTGCAGCTCACGCTGTGTTATCACAGGGTGGGTAGCACACACCCTCAATTACTTATAAGAGGCGTTGGGGGGGGGGGATGACCCAGGTTATTTAAGAATGTTTATTATCTCAGAGAATAGTAGAAATAAATGGCCCTTTTGGAAAATGCTTTAAGGGAAAAAGCTGAGATGAATGTGGGGCACAATTCATGTGCTTGCCCTAACTCAAGGATTTTGACTCATAGGTTGCTGTCCATCCATTGCCAAAATAAAGAGAGAAAGGAAGGGCAGAAAAGAGAAAGAGAAATAAGAAATAAAGGCCTTTCTCCCCACTTACATTTCTGTTCCTAATAAACTCCAGTTAAAGTCACTGATGGGATAATCAAGAGCTAATGAAATGCAAGCTTACCTGGATATGGCACTCTGCCCTTGGTTACCAGCTCTGTCAGTAGAATTCCAAATGACCATACATCAGACTTTATTGTAAATCGACCATACAGTGCAGCCTCAGGAGCTGTCCATTTGATTGGAAATTTTGCACCTAAAACAGTATTGACAATCTTGCTTAAATTGTTTTTAAAAATATATTTTTGTAAATATGGCATAAGGAGGGCTAATTTTTTATCAGTATCCTTACTGTATGTATCATCAGTGTTAAATTCTTCAAAAGTACGGAATACTTTTGAAAAGATATGTGGAAAAATATTTTAATATTTAAAATTTGTATTAAATCACATTTCTTTCTGATAAGATGTTCAAGGACATAAAGTATTATTGGTGAGCACAGAAAACCATTCAAGAAAACAGAGATAGAAACTCTAATAACAAGCAACCAAAAACATGGATTACAGAACCTTTAGCTTTTTTTTTTTTAAGATTTTTATTGGGGAATTGGGGGGATGGGAACAGTGCTGGGGAATTGGGAGGATGGGAACAGCGCTAGGGAATTGGGGGAAGGGGAACAGACAAGTTGCTGTCGTTTTTTTGTTCTTCAGTCTAGTTGTGGAGGACGTTGCTTCACTGGCNTACAACTAGACTGAAGAACAAAAATGACAGCAACTTGTCATTTCCCCCAATTCCCCAGCGCTGTTCCCATCCCCCAATTCCCCAATAAAAATCTAAAAAAAAATGCTCAATGATCTCAGAGAGAACTTCAACAGAGAGGTGAAAAGAGCTAGTCAGGAATAAAGGATACAATAACAGAAATGAAGAATATATTACAGGGAATCAACAGTGGATTAGATGAAGAGGATCCAACCAGCGACGCAGAAGATAAGGTAGCAGAAAACACCCAACCAGAACAGCAAAAAGAAAAAAACGAATCCAAAAAATTGAGGTGAGCTTAAGAGGCCTCCAGGACAATATCAAGTGTACCAACATTTGCATCATAGGAGTACCAGAAGGAGAAGAGAGAGAGCAAGAAATTGAAAACCTATATGAAGGAATAATGACGGAAAACTTCCCTAACCTGGTGAAGGAAATCGACATACAAGCCCAGGAAGTGCAGAGAGTTCCAAACAAGCTGAACCCAAAGAGGTCCACACCAAGATACATCACAGTTAAAATGCCAAAGGTTAAAGACAAAGAGAGAATCTTAAAAGCAACAAAAGAAAAGCAGCTGGTTACCTACAAGGGAGCTCCCATAAGACTGGCAGCTGATTTCTTAACAGAAACTTTGCAGGCCTTAGGGATTGGCACAAAATATTCAAAGTGATGAAAAGCAACGACATACAACCAAGATATCTCTATCCAGCAAAACTATAATTTAGAATCGAAGGACAGATAAAGCACTTCCCAGACAAGAAAAAGCTGAAGGAGTTCATCACCACCAATTCAGTATTACAAGGAATCTTAGAGGGACTTCTTTAAGATGGGAGGGGAGTTAAGGATGGGTGAAATACAAATTGGTTGTTATACAGTAGTCATGGGGATGTAGGGTATAGCATAAAAAATATATCAATAATATTGTAATAGCTAGGTATGGTGCCAGATGGGTACTAAATCTATCAGGGTGATACATGGGAATGGGTTTGGGGGCAGGGTGAAAAAGGTGAAGGCATTAAGAGATACAAATTGGTAGTTTAAATCAAGTATGGTAAATATAATCAACAATGTTGTAAAGATCATGTAGGGTGCCAGATGGGCACTGGACTTATCAGGGGAATCACATCATAGACGGTGTAGATGACTGATCAATGTGCTATACACCTGAAGCTGAAGTAGAATAATATTGAACGTCAACTATAACTAAATATATAGGTATACCAATATCGTGATTTTAAACTTCTTTGTTGTCCCTTTTCTTCCTTCTCTTTCTAGTTCATCCAATGCACTGTGAAATGGAATATTTGGAAGTGGTTTGCTGTAGAGATTCCTTCCCAAAATTGTCACGTGCTTTGGGGCTTTAGTTATGTTTTGGCTGTCAGTTGTTAACCTTTCAGTTTTTCTGTTGGTTTCCTACAGTTAATGTGTAGCTTGTAGTTGGCCCTGTCACCACTAGATGGAACTGAATCATTGGCTAAGATGGACTACTGGAGAGGAATGACATAATTAGTCATAGTTAACTATGGATGAGTGACTTGTTAAGAGTAAAAAAATGTAGACTCTACAACCAAGATGACGCAGTAGGTAAACGCTGTGTTTACCGTCTCTTGCAGCCACATCAAAATTACAAATAATCTACAAAACAACCGTTTTAAGAATTGCCAAAAATCAAGCTGAACTGAAGCCTTTCAACTAAGGACGCGCAGAAAAAGCCACCTCCATACTGGTAGGAAGGTCAGAGATGTGGAACAGGCTGGTCCCATACCCAAGTGTGACCATTAAAGATTGGGAGGGCTATTACGGCTGTGGGGGTCCCTTCCCCATCCCTTAGAGGAGCGAGATTCTAGTCTCACCTCAGCCCAGGTTCCAATACCGGGGAAAGAAGTCCCCATAATTTTTGGTTGTGAAAACCAGCAGAGATTGTGACTGAGGCTGAGGGCAGCTGCACTCCCAGGTGCTGCTCTTAAAGGAACTGCACACAGACGTACCCACCAATAAAATAACTCACTTTGAGCTCCAGCACTGGGGCAGCAGCTGGAGAAGTGGCAGGGACATATGGTGGGGAACTGAGTTGTCTGACTTGGAATGGGGGTTGGAGAGCTGGTCATTGTTTCTGTGTTGAGCCCTCCCCGTTCCCAGCACGTGAACACAGGGGGCGGCCATTGCTGAATCTCCCCTGTTTGTTCGCCACGCCCTGGCAGTTTGAGACCTGGCCTCGCCCAACTGTTGGGCACACCCAGGCTGCTTCCAGTGGCTTTTACGTGCAGACCACCAGCCTTAGCTCAAGTTGCAGACTTTCCTAGGGTCTCTCAAAGGTTTGCAGAACCCAGACAAGTAGCATCTGGCTGGAGCATGTCCTATACCTCTTGCTGAGCAGCCCTAAGCCAGCACTAATGGCAGCTGGCCTTGGTTCACGGCTTGGCCTCTCAAGGAACTTCCAAGCACAGTACAGGCGACAGCCATCTACGGATTTCTTTCTGGCTCCCGTTAGGTGGCTCTGGGTTGGGCACGGGTGTGGCTGAAGTACACCTACAGCAGATCCTCTCCAAAGTGGTCCTGGGGATGGCACCCCCCCCAGTGGCCAGCTTCAAATGAGCTGGAGCATCACCCAGCCACCTCCAAGTACGACACACCAGGGGACAGATTGGGCAGACACCAGAGTCCTGCTGAGGCAGATCCTGCTCTGGAGGGGCAGCTCCTGCACAACAGCTCCTCCACTGTAGTCAAGGCCAGTCCTCACAACCAGTGAGCTCAAGGGTTAGTTCCTCCCATTGATGTGCAATTATCAAGCAAGGCTCAACTACTAGAGGAGGGCACACACAACCCACACCAGGGACACACCTGCAGCGCGTGGCTCAGGTGACCCGGAAGACTGCACCACTGAACCCCACAGCACACCTACTACATAAGGCCNCATGGAGTAGAGAGCGGGAACGGATTCAATGGAATTGTAATAGATAAGCATGATATCGGGGGTGGGAGGGCAATAGATGGGGGGAGGGGGGTTGTTACTTTGTGAGGGTGAAAAGGGTAACTATTGCATTGTTCTGTACACCTGAAACTATAATAAAAAAAATAAATTTTTAAAAAAAAAGCACTGTGCTGAAGGCAAAGTTTCTCAACCTGGCACTGCTGGAATTTTAGGAAAGATTATTCTTTGTTTGGTGGGGGGGCTAGTTTCTACATTGTAGGATGATCAGCAGTATATTTGGCCACTACCCACCAGACACAAGAGGCAGCCTCCCAGTTGTAACCACCAAAAAGTCTCAAGACACTGACATTACCAAATGTCCCTTAGGAGACAAAATCACCCCTGACTGAGAATCTGCGGTTTAAAGACAACAGTTCCCAATGGTTTGTATACCAATGTAGTCACCGACAAAAAGTCACAGTCTGACTAAAAGAAAGAGAAAAAAGGATTACATATCAAGTCACAAAGTTAAAATTATTTATAGGTATGTCCTTTATTCTGAGATTACGTCCTTCCTACTTGTGTAGTGCTAAAATGCATTTATGAAACGGTAATAGTAGATGGTAACAGATTGATGAAAAACAATTATTTTTTGGTGTGTCTACTAAAACCTTCACTAACCTTTATACTGGGCTTACTACATTGTATTGAAATAGTTTGTTTACAACTCGGTCTCAGGCATTAGTCAGTGAGCTCCCTGATAGCAGAAACCATGCCATCTTACAGCTGTGCCCTGCCACCTAGCACATGGAGGGACTCAAATATGTTACAGGAAAACTGGAGCTAGAGAGTAGGAGACTGTGGTGAATGACAAGCCATCTTTTTTTTAGGTGTGAAGGGTCACTGAAGGTTTCATGCAAGGTTTTTTCATGCAGGATGAAACCTTCAGTGGTGTCATCAACATTTGGTGTTGTGTATTGGGCCTTACTCAATCTCTGCCTATCAGTTACACTCTTTCTTCAAGACCCTGCCATCATCTGTGTGAAGTCTTTCCTGTTCTGCTTTCCCAGTGGTTTCCATATACTTTTGGCATTAATTACACAACAGTTTGCCTTATAATTATTTATATATAGGTCTACTTTGCCCATTAAAATGTAAGCTCTAGGGCCAGCCGAATGGCGCGTTGGTTGGGAGTTGGCTTGGGACGCAGGCTCTGAGCAGCAGTGCCCTGGTTTGGATCCCATATGAGAGCCAATGGCGCTGTGCCCTCTGTGGCTGGGATGGTGAACAGCGGCTCGACCTGGAGCTGGGCTGCCGTGGATCACTGGTGATGGCGTAGGCTGTAGCCCCTGCTGCAGTGGGCTGCCATAAGCTACCGTGAGCCAGCAGCCAGCATGAGCTGCCAAGAGCCACCATGAGCGACCGTCCAGTGGCCAGCAACCCATCTGCCTCAGCCTGGAAGCGCTCAATGATAAATGCCAACGTGGGCCAGTAAAGTGACGTCTGAAGAACAAAGGGACAGTGGCTTGTCTGTTGCCTTTCCCCAATTTCCCAATAAAATCTTTAAAAAAAAAAAAGTAAGCTCTAATATTTACTGAGCATCTATTATGTTAGGTAATGTCAGGCACTATATGTCTATTACTTCATTAAAGTTTCACAACAATCTTGAAAAGATTACTATCTAGTCTTTATAAGTGAGGAGACTGAGGCTCAGTCAGAGAGGTTTGATAACTTGGTTGAAATCTCTGGACTAATAAGACATGGAATTGGGATTTAAAAAACCCATACTCGGGCCAGCTGAGTAGCTCAGTTGGTTAAGAGCTCACTCAAGAGTTTGAGCTCTGAGGAACAGCGGTTCGAGTCCCAGCCCGCGCTGAGCAGCCACTGAGCTGCCAACAGGTGGCAGGATGGCTCAGCTAAAACAAAACAAAACAAAACAACCCATACTCTTTCCATATGCATATACTGTATTATGTGTGTTCATTAAGTGTGTACTGAATGAATTTAGAGACAGACGCTAAATAGAAGAACCAGTCTGTTAATTTCCACAAGGTCCCTTCCCTCTCTCTTTACAGTGTCAATCTTGCAAATGTTTTTATTTATCATAATTTTGTATATAATAAAGAACTACTGTAAACCTGGTCTAGAAATGGTTTCCAAAGCCTTTATAAAACTGTATGCTATTTCTTAATATACTAGCTTCGAAAAACCTTTTCTGCTTTTCTGTAATAAAATCTCAATGGTTCTAAAGTTCGTTACAAAAGGAACTTTAAAATGTTTATTTGTGGACATGACACAAGAAGTGTAAAGGGGAGTGTAAAGGGAGGTCTATTTAAAATGCAAAGAACACCCAGTCAAGTTCTTCCTTGTGGGAAATAACTATCAGAAAGCCATGGTATCATGTATTGCATATAATTTTATGAATAAAACCAATGTTTCTTTGACTCTTCTGAGAGGATCTAGAGCTATTCTTATTCTGTAAAACCCTATATATTCAAAAGAATGACAAGAAAATCTGTTGAACCTTAGGTTATAAGCATTTATTAAAGAGGAATTTTACCTTGTCTTGCCGTATATTCGTTGTCTTCAATTAACCTTGCTAAACCAAAATCTGCTATTTTGCACACAAGATTTTCTCCTACAAGAATATTAGCAGCTCGAAGATCTCGATGAATATAGTTCATTCTTTCAATATATGCCATACCGTCAGCAATCTTGGAAAGAAAAAAAAGACATATGATATAAAGGAAAAGGGGGAAGACAATTTTGGTTAACGTTAAGTCAACCACTGAAAACTCCTCTCTCAAAAGAAGATGATGGTAACGGCACAGTCTGGCGGATAACAGGAAAAACTGTAATGGGGAGGAGAGGCAGGGAGAACGAGAGGGACGGGGCAGGAGAAGAGGGAGAGGGGAGGAGAAGAGGAGGAAGAAGAGAACGAGGCAGAGGAGGAGAAACCACAGCGATGTATGTGGCCCACCAAGCCTAACGCGTTTATCTGGCCTTTACAAAACCAGCTTGCCAACCCCTGCTATAGAGTGTGTATGAGCCTTGAACTCAGGAGTGTGGACTAGGCTTGGCATATGCTAAAGTCTAACATGTACAGTTTCTTGGTATAAAGCTTCCTAAATTTCAGCATATTCTTTAGGTTTTCAATAGTACTATTTTCTTTGGAATAGCAATCATTCATTGTCTTAAAATTTACCTTTTGAAACATAAATACTTGTACATACAGATTTTATATTTGTGGATACATATGATCAGGACAGAATTATAATGGGAGTTACATGCCTGGTTCTAATACTAACATTATATGAATTTTACATATCTCTTGGTCTTCAGAAACTAAGGAGATCACACTGGATTACCTCTAATGTCCCCTCCAGCTCTACAAATCCATGATTTAACTATATAAAAACAGTAGTATTCTACTAAAATTATTTTACATTTTTAATGTAAACTTTCAATTCAAATTGATATATAGGTACACAAATACCTGAGCAGCCATATCGACCAGTTGCGGGAGCTTCAAATACTTTCCATCTCCCTCCTTCAGGAAATCTAATAAGCTCCCTATAAGAGACAGCAAGACATTCATGAAAAATCAGCAAATCTTAAATTAGGATTGAAAAACCATTCCCCCACCTCTAAACAAATCACTACATCATGACACAAAACTTCAGCTTTTTATTCTTTAATATCTTTTTGCAGCTTTGGAATTTCTGAATAACTATCTTTAAGATTGTAGGGGTTAGCTGAGTGGCTCAGTTGGTTAAGAGTTCGCTCAAGAGTTTGAGCTCTGAGTAACAGTGGTTCAGTCCTGGCCCGAGCTGAGCAGCCACTGAGCTGCCAACAGGTGGCAGGATGGCTCAGCTAAAAACAAAAACAAACAAACAAAAGATTGTAGAAGAGGTCCCTAATCTGAAATTTTATAAATTTCTCCCAATAACATATGAAAAAAGGGAAAATGCAATAATCTCACCGGATTATAGACATTCCTTCCACACTTCGATCAAGATCAACAGTCCCAATTTTGGTTCAAAAAGTAGTATTAGATACTTATATATTTTTAAGTTGATCTGAATCATGAGCTCAGACAACTGGGAGTATTTTGGGGTACTTAAAACTAAACCTAAGTGACTAAGTTGACATGAAAGTGTCAGTCCAACTAATGTTTCTCAATTTTAGTAGAAGATATGGAACAGCAAAGTACCATGAATAACAAACAGCAGAGAAAGGCTAGAAAGGGAAAGTCTAGCTGCTATTCCTCTATTACTGATTAAAAATTTACCATGTACCTGAATTTAATCAGGAGAAAATATCAAACCCAAATTAAGACACATTTTATAAAATGGCACTATTCTCTTCAAAAACAACGCGGGCCGGCCGAGTGGCTCAGCTGGTTAGGAGCTCGCTTAGGAGCGCCAGTTCTGAGCAGCAGGGCTGCGGTTCAGATCCCACATTGAGGGCCAGTGACACTGCCCTCTACAGCTAAGATGATGAACAACAGCTCGACCTGGAGCTGGGCTGCTGTGAGTCGCTGGCGACGGCGTCGTAGGCTGCAGCTGGGCTGCAGTGGGCTGCTGTGAGCTACGTGAGTGGCTGGCAGCCAGCATGAGCTGCCGGAAGCCACTGTGAGCGGCCAACCAATGACTGGCGACCGACTGCCTCACCCGGGAAGAGCACAATGATCATACCAACATGGGCCAGTGAAGCGACATCCTCCACAACTAGACTGAAGAACAAAAACAGCAATTTGTCTACCTGTCTGTTCCCCTTCCCCAATTCCCCAACACTGTTCCCCTCACCCCAATTCCCCAATAAAATCTTAAAAAAAAACCACAAAAAACCCCCAACAACGCTATGAAAGACAAGAAAGGCTGAGGGGCTGCTCCAGATTCAAGAAGACCAAAGAGAAATTACAACTAAAAGAAGCCCATGATTATGGATTGGATACTAGATCAGGGAAAAATTGCTGTAATTAAGGACATCATTGGGATGACTGGTGAAATCTGAATATGGACTGGTATTAGGTAACAGAATTGTATCCATGTTACATTTCCTGAGTTTGGTCATTATACTGTGGTTATGTAAGACAGTGTTCTTGTTTTTAGGAGACAAACACTGAAGTATTTATAGGTAAAGGGAGCATAATGTTCGCAATGAACTCTCAAATGGTTCATGAGAAAACCCTTATATTTTACATGCTGATAGATATAGCTACTTAAAATTGGCAAATCTGGCTGAAATACATACAGGAGTTCTTCGTATTATTTTTGCAAATTTTCTGTAAGTTTAAAAGTATTTCCAAAAAGGAGTATAATAAAACAAAACAAGATAGAGAAAGCTCTTTCTATGTTGACAGGGTAATGAAACAAGGGTAAGTCATGACTTAGTCTCACTTATAGAAATTCAAAGTCAGAAAATATCTATACTTCTTCTGGTTTGTTTAATGTAGGGGAACACATTATTGTTTGTCCATTTATCTGCCCATTCAAATATTTATTGAGGGTCATGGTAGGCACTGTAAAAGGCATAGAAGATATAAAGATAAATAAGTCACGGTCTCTATCCTTGAAAAGATCTTGATCTAGTATGAAAGTAAAGATCTAGAAACGATAAAATATGTGCAAACAAATATTGTACAGTAGGTGTTATAAAAATTATTGTAGAAATGACAGTGCTGACATAGTGGATATAGTTAATTCTATGGACAAGTCAGAAAAGACTTCACAGAGGGAACGCATCTTAAAGGAAGAATGAGGGCAAACAGGGAATTCCAGGAAGAAGGAGTAACAAGCACAAAAGCTGTAATCCATAAAAAGGCACAGTAAATTCGGGGAACTGAAAACAGTCCCTCCTAAGGAAGAACACAGGGCACAAAGATGGAAACTAATGAGAATGACACTACAGAAGGAAAGAGTCAGAACACAGGAAGCAATGCATAAATGGACTTTATCCTTTTTATATAAAGTTTTATGCTGAGAAGTAATATGATCTGATTTATGTTAAAAAAGCAGTAACTCCAACAGTTAACATGAAGACTACAACTGGGCCAAACTGTATAAAAGGAGTAAGTTTAAATTTCCTGCAGCAGTTCAGGAAAGAGAGACTATTATGTTAAAATCTAGCAATGATAGTGGGAACAATGAGAAGGGGAAATTTTCCAGAGAGATTTAATAAATGGGATTGACAGCATCAATGGACTATTACATAAGAGGGTGGGGAAGTGAAGATTACTGGGCCTCATCCCAAATTTGCATTTCTAACAAGTTTCCAGGTGATGCTAATGCTGCTGCCAGCCAATGCACTACAGACTTGCACATATGCAAAATGAGGCAAGTACCAAGATGTGATCAAACAATACGGTGAATGTTTAAATTTAAAAAAAAGTATTACAGTAAAAGACACATTGCCATTAATCCCCCTCAAAATACTTTCCCTCACTTTGAACACACTTATCCCACCGTTCTTGCCACTTTCTGAAGCAGTTCTGGAAGTCGTCTTTTGTGTCTTTAGTTGCACTGTTGTGGCTGCCTCGATGTCCTGAATCATTTTGACTTTGGGGAAGAGCCAGATCCGGTGAATAAGGTGGATGAGGACATACTGTAATGTTTTTATTTGACAGAAATTGATATGTACCAGAAGCGATGTGTGACACAGAGCGTTGTCATGATGGAGGATGATTTACAGCACACTGTAAAACCTTCTCTCAACCATAGCTCATATCTGTTGGACTGCACCAAGTTTAAACTTGTCACACACTGTTACTAAGGTTCGATGAGCCGCTTCCCATATTGACGATCCCTGCCTTTCCGTTGGATGGCACTCAGCAACAGCATTCACTGTATTTTTTTTTTATCACAACGGAAATACTCCGTGTCACACATCACTTCTGGTACAGCAATTTCTGTCAATTACAAACATTACGGTGTGTCCTCATCCACCTTATTCACTGGATCTGGCACCATGCAACTTCAGGCTCTTCCCCAAAATGACTATGAAGGGAAACTTTTTGAATTGATTCAGGACATCAAGGCAGACACGACAGCGCAACTAAAGACACTCAGGAAAGAGGACTTCCAGAACTGCTCAGAAAGTGGCAACAACGATAGGATAAGTGTGCTCAAAGTGAGAGGAAGTATTCTGAGGGGGGTTAATAGCAATGTGTCTTTTATTGTAATAATTTTTAAAATTTAAACATTCACCGTATTTTTTTATCACACCTCATACATGACAATGCAGAATATAGAGAAAGCAGAAGATACATTTCTTTGATCAATACACTAAGTAGAACATCATTCAGTGTAACAACAAGTAAGTGCTAAAATAGTGCAAAAGCTGCAGAGCATAGAAATTCAGGATTGGAATTGTATCACTTTGACAATTCCTATTTGATTTTTAAGCAATCCCAACAAATCACATCCCACTTCCAACGTTTCTTATATCCATTTCTCGTAGAACGTTTTAGACCATATTAAGTGGTCTTTAACCTTTTTTTGGTTCATGTGTTATTTTGAGTCTGATGAAAAAAAACTAAGAACTCTTTCCAGAAAACACAAAAGTATGCAAAAACTGAAACATAACATCAGAGGAAGATCATGGACCATCTGAAGTTCATTCATGACCTGGCAGAAAGTAGGTAGTCAATAAATAGTGAAATCAATTCAAAGCAACCCTTAAGTTTGTTTCATATACCTCTCTAGCCTCCTTTCCAACTAGTTTCTTCTACTACTTCTGTACTTCCCACTAGCCATGCTTTTGTTACCCATTTCCTCAATCCTCTTAGCACGGCAGAAATACCCATACTCTTCTCTTTACCCACCCATATCCGTCATAACCTTAAAGGGCAGTTCAAGACTTGTCTTTTCTAATTTTTCTCTATTCCAGTCTGTGTGATCTCTTCTTCAATTTCTATTATACTTACTATGTCAAACACCTAGATATTCACTATGCTTTCACCTGTAGTTTTGTTTATTTACAGTGAACTGTTGTTTACTTATATAGTGAAAATTAACTCTTCAGAAGTTTAGGTCTTTTCTCTCCAAATTTAATGTAAGTTATTTGGGTGGCTTTATTTCTTTCATACCTTATACTAGCAGGGTGCCTTGTACATTACAGGCATTCAGTACATTTTGGCTGTTAACGATTTCTAGAGTAGTCTAACTATAAAGATTTTAAACCATATAATGATCACGACAGACTGGGATATTAGTGGAAGGCTTCTGATACCTGACTTAAGTCCAATATGAAAGTAGTTGATGCACTGGTCAAGAGACAGGGAAACCCAATTCCGGGGAAGGAAATAATAACATGAACAAACTCATGCAAATGAGGAACAAGACGAAGACCCATTTGGCCAGAAAAGTGGGTTTATGTGGAAGCACTGGAGGCAATGAGTTTGGATGGATTACATGGGCTAACTGCTAAATACCTGAATAGCAAAACTGGCAATTAAAGAGTTTT